AAGTAGGCAAAAATGAGCACTCATTACAATCACCGGAGACTGACTGTTAAAGTCACATTTGCACCCACTGAGTCGCCGGCTGGATTCACTCATCCAATCGCCCCAGCGGCCCTGATCACCATGTCGGCACAACCGACAAAGGAACTGACAGTTTCCACAACCGAGACGGGCATGATCTCACTTTCTTTTTAAGCTCAGTCAGTAACACCGGCAGCCAGGTTTAAACGCACGAATTAAGCTGTGACTGCCAGCTGAAAGTGGGAATGTAACTATTAGCCTTTTCAAGGTAAGGACTGTGTTTCACTTCCAGCCAGCAGTCCAGTGTCGGGTCCAGGACTCTCTGGCTGGGCCAGTGTCGGGACACAAATTTCGACGGCTCAGAATCATTCATTGGAGCAGAACTGTTTGACCATGGACTTCGGGTTCAGTGTCGATGATCAACTGTACGTGTGCAGCTCATCCTGCATTTCCAGCAGTGCTTCAATCATGTACTCACGATCCCGGAATGGAGCATAGTAGGCTCGGTGGTTGATCCACCTGACAATGGCTTGTTCCATGGTCATCGAGGCAAAGGCCATGACTAGGACACAATAAGCAGCACAGGTCCTGTTAATGCCACCGTAGCAATGGACAAGCACACGAATTGGCCTCTTCTTGCCTCCACGCTTCCGACCACCTCCCTGAAGCTTCATCGCCTCCAACAAAGCAAGAGCATTACCGAGCTCACCAGGGAATGTCTCATCGGCCACCTTCAAGGCACTCTGCCTTCCATCGGCACTCTGCCTTCCTTCAGCGGCTCTTCCGAACAGGCTGCCCATGTCACTTCCCTTGCTGAAGCCCTTGTCATAGGAGCAGCCATAGCCAAATGAGCCCTTCGTCGATGCCTTCTGGCTTTGCATGTGATTGGAAACCTGACAGGGGCCGCTGTAGCCCTTGCTGATTGTCTTGCCCTTGCCCCTGCCGCCATTGGCCTTGCCCATCATTTTGCCCTTGATGGCACTCTGCCTTTGACTCTGGCTGAACTCCTCTGCTGAGCGCTGCCAGCACATCATAATCTTTCTGAAATCTGAAATGAGGCGGCGCCAAATGGTCTTGAACTCATGACTTCTTTGTTCAGCATCAAAGTCATTGGCATGTGTTTGATCCCAGCCACCATACCGAAGATGTGCAGTGCCAAACGGTCCACAATTCGCCAAATACTGATACCAGTCCCATGGCTCAAAATTCCGAGGTCTGTCATCTGCATTCATAGAGATGACAATGTCAGGCTTGACCCGGAGCTGGTCATATCGGATCGGGCAACCAATACTGCCAACAAACAGTTGCCACTGGGGATGGTCGTAAATCAAAACATCATCCATGGGCCACGTCTCGACATCATGCTGGCATGGCCGAGGTGGCGGGATCGACCCAGGCAGCACATCTGTCTGGCCGGTCCATGCTTTGTACAACTTCATATCCATATCTCCGAAATCTGAGATGGCCTCAACTGCCAATTTGATTCGTTGATCCAATTGTGCAGCCCTTTGGATCTTTCGGAGCCCGGTGGTATAGTCGGCAGCTGATCTGCCACAGTGTAAACAATTCCACCGAAGTTGTTGCACGGCTTCGTTCCAGTAATCACTGCCAAGGTCAATGTGATTGGCCTGATTCTGATGGTCAGCAGCAGAAGTCTGGCACTCTGCCTCGGAACTCCCTGAGCACCTTGAAACGGTCGTCGGCATCACTGCTTTCATCGAGCACCCAATTGTCCAACGATTAAAACATTAACAGTGACTAATGCATCACTATACAGTACATTAACCAATGATATGTAACATTGTGTTACTACTGTTACATCAGTATGAATGAATCACTTGATTATCTGGCCGGCAGATGTCGATCATGTATGGTGCAAGGCAACTCACTGACAGACTATGCAGGCAGGCAGGCAGGCAGCCAGCCTCGGAGACAGCAGGGTCCTGAGGACGTCACTGCCACCCGGCACTGTGTAGTCAGCATGTCATGCTGGGTAACCTTTTGGAATCCAAGTTGCGCACACTACCGCTGAGGTCTCCAATCGGACAGTCTAGCTCTGCTGGCTAGATCGTCGAATTCAAAATCCTCTAAGCACACGCAAACCCGGCACTCTGCCTTCCCCAACATCCGTAATGCGGTCTCGGAGGCTGTACAAACACGATGAATCACTGATTCATCATTGACGACAGAGCTTCGTCTCGCACGTCATTGTAATATAAAATTCCTGGCACTCTGCCTTCACTGTAATCCTGCATAAATCTCGGAAAGAGTACGTGCAGGATCATATCATTGATATGCCAGTCTACTTGCAAGACATGCCCACGCTCTTCAGAATTCAGAAAGAACCACAATGTCGAAAAGGACTCCTCTAGCAGCGCGTCGAAATAAATCACATAATCATCGTAGTCACTGTCCATGATCGAGGCCACAGTGCTTGCACGCTCATCGGCAACCAGAATCCAGTCCGAGTCCAGAGACTCACTGTCACTGCACGACATCGACGACATCTGCCGGCTTGCAGGGGGGCCTACTACGACTTAGACTAGAGACAGAGCAGGTCGTCGGCATCACTGCTTTCATCGAGCACACAATTGTCCAACGATTAAAACATTAACAGTGACTAATGCATCACTATATAGTACATTAATCAATGATATGTAACATTTTGTTACTACTGTTACATCAGTATGCATGAATCGCTTGATTCTCTGGCCGGCAGATGTCGATCATGTATGGTGCAAGTCAACTCACTGACAGACTATGCAGGCAGGCAGCCAGCCTCGGAGACAGCAGGGTCCTGAGGACATCACTGCCACCCGGCACTGTGTAGTCAGCATGTCATGCTGGGTAACCGTTTTGAATCCAAGTTGCGCACACTACCGCTGAGGTCTCAAATCGGACAGTCTAGCTCTGCTGGCTAGATCGTCGAATTCAAAATCCCCTAAACACACGCAAACCCGGCACTCTGCCTTCCCCAAGATCCGTGATACTGTCGCGGAGGCTGTACAAACACGACAAATCATTGATTCAGTGACGACAGCCATTCGTCTGTCACATTGAAATATAAAATTCCTGGCACTCTGCCTTGCCTAAAATCCCGCAAAAGTCTCGGAAACAGTACGAACATGATCTGTTCATTGATATGGAAGGCTGCTCGAAAGACTTGCCCACGCTCTTTAGAATCCAGAAACATCCACAATGTCGAAAAGGACTCCTCTAGCATCTCGTCGAACGGAATCACATAATCATCGTCGTCAGCACTGTCCGCGACCGAGCCCGCAGTACTTGCACCCTCATCGTCAACCAGAACCCAGTCCGAGCCCACAGACTCACTGTCACTCCACGACATCGACGACATCTGCCGGCTTGCAGGGGGGCCTACTACGACTTAGACTAGAGACAGAGCAGCTGTAACACGACTATAGTAGATTACGCAGGGCAACAGCGAGCACAACTGCTGCAGCGGCAAGTTGCGATACATGACACGCTCACTGACTATGCAAGGCAGCTTGTCCTCTGCGATGGCAGCATGTCCTCAGGATCCTCGTCATGAGCCTCGGTGCCAGGACTGTACCATAATAATGGAAGTAGCTGAAGCAAGCTGATGCTGAGATCCCAGCAGTTGGCATCCACTTCTCGATGGGCTGGAAGCCGATGAAGACCGATGGGAGAGAAGGAAATGGAAGAGAAGGCGTTCACTAGGCTTGGATTCAAACCGAACACTTAGACCTGGCCAACGGTGTGGGGAGCAACCCCGATGGGGCAGGGACTTAAGTAAGGCAACCTCGAGAGGCTCGACTGGCACTCTGCCTCTGTCGATCCAAGTCGCAAGGCTCCCTAACTAACGTGACAAGCATGGATGGCCTCCCCTCCTGGTTGGGAGAAAAATAAAAAAGCCACAACCACTGGACCACCCCACCCGGCACTTTAGCCCATGTGCCCGGGTGTCATATGCCACTGCCCTGGCACGTTGGCCCCAAGGCGGTCCAGGTACCATCGACAACACCTGACACCCGGCCAACGGTGTCCACGAACCGAGATGGGCAGTCGATCCGTGTGGGTAAGGTGGCACTCTGCCTCTGTCGATCCAAGTCGCAAGGCTCCCTAACTAACGTGACAAGCATGGATGGCCTCCCCTCCTGGTTGGGAGAACAAATCAAGCCGCAACCACTGGACCACCCCACCCGGCACTTTAGCCCATGTGCCCGGGTGTCATATGCCACTGCCCTGGCACGTTGGCCCCAAGGCGGTCCAGGTACCATCGACTCAGCACCTGACACCCGGCCAACGGTGTCCACGAACCGAGATGGGCAGTCGATCCGTGTGGGTAAGGGCAAGATCTCAAGGCAAGTCAACATGTCACTACGGCCTCCCTTCTTTGTTCAATCACAACCCAAAACTATTTAAAAAGATTAAATTTTAAAAATTATTAACTTCAACAACAAATAAACAACAATTTTGTAGACATACAGCAGCAGGAAACCAGGTAGAACAACAGGAAGCCAATTGACTCACTCAGAAACAAAATTCACAAACATGTATTTTTTTACACCAAAAATAAAATAAAAGAATTTTAACAACTGTAAAACACAAAAAAACCTATTTAAAAAACTTTTAAATACAAAACAATACTTTTAAATACAAAAAAACACTTTTAAACACAAATAAAGCCAACCACATACAAAAATGAGATTTTGGGTTCCTTTCATATAAGCCTTGTTGATCTAAACCCTGTGGTTCTGGTTCGGCGCAAAGGGTTAAGGACTAAACCAGATCGAAACCCTGAACCCAGAAGCCTGAAACAAAGCACTCCGTTTGTAATGTAGGGGCCTTGATAAGAAGGATGCGGTTTCCGGGTCTAGTAGACCATACTGAAATTAGGGACAAAAGGGGGAAATGATTCCAGTTTTTTTCCGACGACCATAATTAAAACAATGGTGCAAAAAGGGGAAATTACTCCAATGTTTTCCGACGCAGCCAAGGATCGCTCAGCATGGTTTGCGGCAGCTCGTTCTGCAAGGCATGAGAAGCTCTCTTAGTTAGGGCCTCTCGAGTCATAACTAAAAAGTAAGAGAGAGACGTACTCTGTTGAAATTTGAAAGGTAGAGAGGAATACCTGCAGTCTATACAGTTCTCCTGCAAGGAAGCAATCTGGCTTGCGGCCAGGATTTTGGTTCTTACTACCCGTCCCCGACGCGAGATTGAATCGAGTGACAAGCACATTGACGAAGTCACGACGTCATGGTCGAAATGACAACTCCAGGAGCAGCGATTGATGATTCGATGATCAAGTCTGCATAGCGACCAATATACTTCCGGTTCCTAATCATAGTGATACCATAATATTATTCCCCAATTCAACTGGTCAAGGCCCACGTAGTGTCAATATCACCATAATCCATTAATTATTTGGCAATGCTGTTGATGCAGGCACACGCGTACCTGCATCATCGTCGTCACAACCATGTCGACGGAGTGGCAGTGGCATATGGTCCTCTGAATGCCCCACTCAACCACAAAACCTAAACCGCACAAGGATTCAAGCCCTCATCCCAAAACCCTGCGACACACCTGAAACCTACCCCCCTTACCAAAGACAAAAATTGAAAACAAAAAAACAGTGAGCTGGGATGTTGCAAACACACAAGGAACTCACTTCTCGTCGCCCCGATGCCCACTGCCAGCACAGCGCAGATCTTGGGCAACAACGCGTCTGGGATCTGATTCGTTGTATTTGGGACGTAGCCGTCGCAGTAGCAGTAGCAGTAGCAGTAGTAGCAGTAGTAGTAGCAGAAGTAGCAGTAGTAGCAGTAGTAGCAGTAGTAGCAGTAGTAGCAGTAGTAGCAGTAGTAGCAGTAGTAGCAGTAGCAGTAGTAGCAGTAGTAGCAGTAGTAGCAGTAGTAGCAGTAGTAGCAGTAGTAGCAGTAGTAGCAGTAGTAGCAGTAGTAGCAGTAGTAGCAGTAGTAGCAGTAGTAGCAGTAGTAGCAGTATAGCAGTAGTAGCAGTAGTAGCAGTAGCAGTAGCAGTAGTAGCAGTAGTAGTAGGAGTAGTAGTGGTGGTAGGTGCGAGTTTGCGTAGTTTGCCATCTTGGCTTTATATCCCTCGTGGGATAATGGGCATCGTTATTGCTGTTTTCATGACTAGATACTACTGTTACCAATATGTTATATCGATGAACATTGTCACGAAATTGTATACGGTCATCACGGAGTTCGACAGTTCGTGGTTGGTCTGATGATTTTGATTCTGGTGATTGCTATTCTTGTCGTGGTCACGATGATCATTGTTGTTCAAGGTGCTTGCAATAAGGATCCTACGGTCCAGGGTCAGAGCTGGGCTGACGGTGCCTTCTTTAGGATCCTGCTAATCTGGATCCCGTTAGATGCTGGGTGTACGGTGTAGCAGCCACGATCAAAATCAAACCCTCCAGTTGTAGGATCCCGCCTCATTAGGGCTTCCTTACACGATTCCGTCAAAATAGCAGGCTTGCTGGGCTACAGGTAGGGATTGGTGTGCTTCTTGAGTTGTAATGACAGATCACGTGTGGTTCAAGGCAAGCTCGCCAGGAAAGCCACATTCGAGATAGCAAGTTTGTTCTGTCAACCCCGGCGTCTTGTGGGTAGTTGTCTCCATGTTCGATTCAAGCAGCTATTTGGCACTTTGCTCCACTGACCCACTAGGCGGACGTCCACAAACTGCCTTCGGCGAAAGTTTTGCTTGGCTTGGACATCTTGATTTTGCGGAGCACAGTACACAGAAGAGATCCGTCGTGACACAGCCCCACCCCATTCATTCAACTTCAGCCCCACAATATGGGAGTTTCCTAAAATAGGGGACCCTAAGAGAGTACCCTAAATAGTAGGATCCTTATTATAAGGACCCCCAAAATAAGGTATCCCTATTTTCGGAAACTCCCATATGACGTGACAACTCTTGCCACATTCCCCCTGTCCTTCCCGAGCCTAAGTCGAAACCCTAAAGTAAAAGCCAGAAAGTTGGAATATGATTATCCTAAACCCTTTATGGTAAATTATAGGGTATCCTACCCTGAAACCATATTCCAACTTTCTGGAGTCCCCTGTATGACACTAAACCGCGAGCTGCAGCCCGAAACCACCCAAAAAAAACGCTCTTCCCCGAGCCCTACACCCCAGAAGCTCCAGACCCCTGGGCCTAGAGCCTGTAACTCTGCACCCCGAAACACCCTATAAAAGCCATATAGATCCGTACATTACCACCTCTCCGTCCCCGTATAATGCACACATATATCATGTACAGCAAAACCTAGTTCAAAATCAAAGCCCCCCGCATGAAAACATACCATTCCTGGGCGTTTAATGGTAGGGGTTACAGGGTTTAGGGTTCACAGGTTTATGGGCTTATGGGGTTTAGGATGTAGGGTTTAAGCCTCAGGCTTGAGGGCAATCATAGCTGCCACCTCCCAGCAAGAGAACACACGAAGGAGTCGTTCGAGCCTTACACACAGAACCTCTATGTTCGTCGGGTGCTCTCGGGTGAGTTCGTGCAGGTGACCTGTCCGAGTTCCTGAAGTATCTGGGGTAGATGTCCGGTTTTAGGCTGTGGGGGTCGGTGTAGGTGTCGTGCCTTTAGTCGAACGGTTTAGGGTTTAGGGTGTGGGTATCGTGCCTTCAGTGTAGATGTGTCTGACGGTTAGCGTCTTGAGTTTCGGGGTTTGTGCCGGGGCTAAGGAATTATGGAGGGCTTTCGGGCTGTCAGACTTCATGGTGCTGCAACTCTTAGGACGTAGGGATGTTTTGGATGAAGTACTTTCTGAGGTTAGGGTATGGGCTGGCTTGGGGCTTAATAATTGCGATTTGGGCCAACAGGATTCGGATTTCAGAGTCGATTGCTCTGAGATTCAGTGCCTGTGAGCAGAAGCAATCACCCAGCTCCTGGCCTCGGAAACCAGAAGGGCTTAGCAGTAGGGCAGGTAACCAATAACATCACTCAAACTGCTTGGTGTACTGTCATGCTGAAATCATCCCAAAGGGTTAACCTTTGGTTTGCCTAGGATACTCGGCAGGCAAGAGAACAAATTCGAGCCCACCTCAGATCCTCGAACCCGCATGAGTGTTCCCACACATACCCCTAAATCTAGAGTACTCCCGGATGCTACATCCCGCAAGCCCTCATCGCGACTGTGAACTCGAAACTCCAAACCACCCTCAACCCCAAAGGTCCAAACACCTTGAGAGTTGCCTTGAGGCAAATCTACTTAGAATCTCTCAAAACATGTGACGAGAAAGCCCTAAAGCCGCAAGTCCTGAGAATTCCAAACCCAGCTGCAGGCTCCTGAACCATGGAACCATTAAGCTCTTGCAGGACCCGTGCACAGAGAGCCAGAGAGAGACACCGTGTCCAGAAAAAGTTGGGTAGTTTGGGAAGCCTGAACCCCAAGCTTTTGGAATTCTGCAGGTGAATCGGCACCTCCTCCGTGACCTCATCAACCGCGATTTGTGGACCGAGGCAAGTTCATAAAGTCGGCAGTTGAGGTTTGTTGGCTTCCCTTGACAGTACGTATTCAATCTTCCTGCTGCTTGGTCTACCGTTTCAGGACTTGAAGTTTTGGAGAGCCCTTCAATAGGGCGTGCAAGTCTTCGGCTTAAGGGTGGTGACTCAAGGCTTTGAGTCTTGGGGTCTTTCAGACTATATGAAAACCTGAATTCGCCACTTTATCGAGTTTCGGAAATTTCAGGGACTCTTGTGTCGATGCCTGATTGTACGCCCACGGGGTTTCCCAGAGGTGATCTACGTCTCTTCTGTACGGAGCATGACCACGGACGTTGAATACAAGTTCCTGCGTAATACTATGAGTTGCTGTTGGGTTTTTTGAGTCTTTGGAGACTGAGTGTTTACAGAGTTTGGCTCAAATCCTCCACTGATGTTGTTGGCCAGGACGTGCGACTCAAGCTCATTGCTCACAATGGGAGCGTCCAGGCTTTGGACTTGCCAGAGGACCCTGAGTAGAGTTGGGGTTAAGGGTTTACTTTGGGTACGGCCCCCACTCAGTAATAGTTGAATAAGGTTCATAATATAGATATAGTAGGACCTGAATAGTAGCCCTATTATAGACTCTTACTGTATGGGGGCCGTACCTCAGGTTTACTGTTGGTTCAGGGTACGGTCCAAGTGAGGGTAGGAGAGCAAACAGTCGGCATATTCAGTGACGCTGCAAGCCTTGGGAACTTTTTGGAAGCTTTCGCGCGTTTTCCTCATGGGGCCACCGTACTGTTGCTATTGCTGTTACTTCTATGGCGATGCCACGAAAACCTGAAGCAAGATCCGAACTCAAAGGATCCTAAGTAAGTACCGCTGCTTAGCTTTCCCGAATCATAGTTTAACTGTAATTCCTTACAGGAACTTTGTGGGTAATTCCTAAACCCAACAAAGCCCGTGCAAATCGACAACTCATGTATGCTTGATCGCAGTTAGAGTTGAAGCCTTATGATGTTTCTGCTTTTCGGAATATGTTTTGTTTTGGATTTGGGCTGCTGGTCCTGAGTCCCATGCGTTCAACTTACTCAGTTCCTCTCGAATCCTGAAAGTAGCTGAGGGTTTAGGGTTCAAGGGTGTAGTAGGGGAGTTCTGTTGTACAGTGCGGTGTCAGCAGCCGTCCTTACCGCAACCATTGTTCTTACGATCTTCGCGAGGCTCGCTGTAAGGCACCTCTCGTCGTATTGGTTCATCGTAACAAGGCATCGACAGAGACAAAAAGCTGAACAACTCACCAAAACAACTGACTCGAAGAGCTTCCATGCCCACACCGACATCCAAGCTTGGAAGACCTGTATACGCGCTCCATCTTATGGCGAAGGACATCAAGGAGCTCTACAAGACCGTCTGGGAGATCCGGCAGCGCGCGTCTTGCCCCGATTTACGGAGGGGACCTGATGGTTTGGGGTCTAGGGCCCCTCCTCTATCCCCGGAGGTTTAGGGTTTAGGGCCTAAACATCGGAAAAAACCCTAGGCCCTCGACCCCTAAAGCCCTAGAACAAAGACTCCGAAACCCGACGCAGCAGGCCGTCCTGGACATGGCGGCCGACCGCGGAGCTTACATCGACCAGTCACAGTCCTTGCTGCTTGTCCGAATCCTTTGGGATTACAGGGGACCTATTACACTATCTTTTTGGGGGGTCCTTATTGTAAGTATACGGGTTAAGGTTTGAGCAAGGGTTTAGTGTTCAATAGCTTGAGGGCTGATTTGTTTGGTTTGGCGTTTGGGGTTTGGGTATGGGTATGGGAAAGTTAGACAAAGAGGGCTTTAAGCAGCAACCGACTAATTGATGCAAACCGCCCTGCATTAACCGCATTGGCGGATGTTGTAGGTGTTGTAGGGCTGGCAATGAATTCCGTCACACCTTCAATGCAACTCCTATAGTGCACGCCGGAAAGTTGGAACATGGTTTTGAGATGAGTAGTACTGAGATTGCCAGTGCTGTGAGCATGAGGATAAGATTAGCTTCTGGCTCGTATTTCAGTGCCACCACGAACAGCAGAACCCGGAGCCCGACGACTCAAGTTCTGCATCTTCGATCCCAGCCAGAAGAGCACCAGTCATATAGGAGCCTGGTGAAGAAGATAAGGGCTGGCTCTCTATTGGGGCTCTTAACCTGGATGCTAACATTCTGGAGTTGCGGGATCAGGGTTCCTGAATCAGGTTCCTACATTTGATGAAAACACTATTCGTGATCTAGTGCAAACGCGTAACAGCTGTAGCCAGGTTCCAACCATGGAGGAGGCCCAACTCGCTTGGCCTAAGGAACATCCACATGGTGGACGTCACAACTGCCAAGCTCTCGTCGATGCACTTCCATGGATGGCGACTCGACAAAACACGAATGACACCGGAACCCGCGACTAATGGTTGGCCGTGCCTCGAATTCAGGGTTGAAGGAGCTTATAAATCCGAAGCCCCATCCTATTCATAGCAGCCTTTCCATACAGTCGCTGTTATGATACCTAATGATAACCAAACCTTTTGTACTAACCCGGACAAATCTCAAGCGCCTTAGTTGCATACTCCGGCCCTTCGGCATTCCACCCCTCCAACTTTTAACACAGTTCCTGGACTTTAGGGGCATTGTGAGGTTCGATGTACGGGGGTAGTGTTCAGGGGGCACCAACCCTGCAAAATCCCACAAAGTCTTATATCGCCCCACAAAAGGCTGCAAATCCACCTGCCCGAGACAATTCATACACCGTGTCTGAACGCCATAGAAACCCTGATTGTTAATGTCTCCTCATGATGATTAGCCCTTGGCTCTGTGGATATAGACTGTTACAGGGTGGGGCAGTACCCAACCTTAACCTGTTACAAACACCCTAAGCCCTAAAACCCTAAACCCTAACCCCCTACAGCCTCTACACCCGCTAAACCCTAAACCCCAAGCCCTAAAGCTTCAAAAAAATAGCCTGCAGCGTCAAACGGCGGACTGCTGCAGGAACCTTGGGTTGAAGACCGGTCTCTACTACCTGAGGCAATCTTCAGGGTTTGAGGATTCAGCCTTCCGGGATTCTGTTTTAGGGTTTAGGGTTTGAGGGTTCCGGGTTCCGGGATTCTGTTTTGGGGTTTTGGGTTTCAGGGTTTAGGGTGCAATTTTAATGTCTGGAAGGTCTATTTCCGAAGGATTGTACAAGGTTCGGGTTTAGGGTTTGAGGTCTTTTCGTACATGGTATTGCTTGAGAATTATGAAAGATGTCTTCACGAATCTTAAGGATTGTTGTTGGTTCGCCTGGCTTTCGCACGGTTCTATAGGATTCTTGAAATTTCTTTAAAGGTTCGTTGAGGGTTCCGCGGACTCGATGGGATTTTGTAAGCTCTGTTATGGGATGTTGTTTACAGGGATTCGCAGGGTTCCGGAGGGCTTTCTGCTGGGTCTTAGTTTGGGTTTTGGGCTGTTAGGTGTTCGGATAGCATTGTAAATTGTACCTGTAGGGTCATCCCCTACCCCTTTTTAAGGCAGTATGGTACGCTCTTTTCTTCTTCTGTATATGACAGATCCTAACCATAAAACTGGGCTGAAACACGGGGTAGAGTAGTTGTGGTGGTGGTAGTGGTGGTGGTAGTAGTAGTAGTAGTAGTAGTAGTAGTAGTAGTAGTAGTAGTAGAAAAGGAAACACGTTCAGAGGGTACTGCACTCGGAAAATGGACGATCGAACCTGTCGTTTTCAAGGGGACAACAAAAGTAACGGCAAAACTCATTTCAGTGCTGCGGCAGCTTCTGACAACGTACATCACCCCTGTTGGACTTATGGCCGCATGTTGGTGTGTAATAATGCTGAGCCTCGCGCAGAATACCCTGAACCCTACCGGGGCATCGGTGTGCCTGGAAAGTGTGTCGCGAATCTGGGCTCAGATGTGTGAAATACTACGGGGCCCTGATGTACACCGCGAAGAGTGGCCTGATCATACCTTTAAGCCTCATGGCGAGTTCCCCGCACTGGTCGCTCAGGGGCTTGCTGGGGGTCTTACATAGGTTTGAAGGATGGGTTTGCAAATGGCCTCACTTTAAGGAGTTTATTTGATATTGCTTGCCAAGTTCTGTATAAGTCAGTCCAGGCCACCGCATGATGTGAGCAACTCCGGCTATGAACCCTAAACCCTACCCAGAGGCCCCAAAGTAGTTCCTTTTTGGGAGTACCCTATGGGATTCTATATATGAACCCCAAAAAGGAACTACTTTGGGGCCTTTGGGTAAACCCAACACATGGCCCGGAGGAGAACTTAAGCCCTGCAGCCCGAAATTTCGGCCCCCAGCTCCAGCGCTACACTTGTACTATAGGGGCCTCTTAATAGTTACCTATACTTGGGCGCTCCTTATTGAAATTATAGTATAATGGGCCCCCGAACCCTATTCTAATTATGAAGGCCCCTATATTATATACCCTAATCCCAGCGGTCAGGACGAAAGCCGCTGCAGACGCCATCAAGTTCACCGTGGATGTCGAAACACTGTAACTTGCCTGCTGAACAACCAGACTACTATTTTATTGCTACAGGGTTCCCTGATAGGTGTCGTAGAAAACTCTCAGCAGCAGTTCTATGCTAGAACCCTGGATCCTGATCTAACTGTTTGGCTTCTGTATTGGGCTTGCAATTAGCCGTGGGACTGTCGCTGGCTGGATAAAGCTAGCTGGTGGTCACCTGCGTGTCCACACTATCTTGTGTCACCATGATCAATCAGTGGTTTACCCGAGTGTTCCGTTTGGTTTTTGCTCACTGTAAAAATCTACCCACCTGAATGTGCGCCAGGTTTATGTTTCAGAATGTTGCCAGACCGAAACCGAAGGCTGTCAGCAGAATGTTCGTATATACCGTGATCTAATTCTATGTACCTTGCTTCATGGTTATCTTGCTTAACGTCTTGGTCTAATCTACCACAAAGAACCTAACACACTCCCAGGATCTGGACGGATGGTTTTTATCATAATAATAAAGGTGCCTTCAGAATTACCCATACTATTTTGGCAGGTCCTTATAATTATAGTTTGATGGGCCCCAAAACCCTATTGAAAATATTTGTCATGTCGCCTATATTTCGTGTTGGAAGACAGCCTGACGCAGCATGGCACAACATGAACCCGAACGACTACAAAGAGGCACTCGTGCGTTTCTCGGGTATGTCCACGGACTCATGATCTAAATGCCTACTGCCCTGCTGACGCCCGATTTGCAGTTTTTGTTTTGCTGTATTTACGTCACAGCATCCTGCTTTCATATTTTGAGGAGCCCTGAATGTATGTCGTTGCGGGCGTTTTGCGTATGTGGGAAGCTTCATACAGTCCAAAGTCCGTGCAGAGCCTCTGCAAGCAGGAACAAGCAAGAACGAACACCCTCGCGCAAAATCGAGGATCAAACCTAAATGCCCCTACAAGCCGTGCTTTTGTCCTCCACCGTGTCACCGGCTCTGCATCCCAAGCTTTGAAGCCTCGAGGCCCTCAGGCACCGAAATCTCAAACCGTCCTTTCCCAGAGCCTATAACGAGCAAACCGATCCGCACACCGGTAGAGGAAGACAAAACACATTTCCTGCTGGAACTCTGCCCCAAAAATTTAAAAGTGGCAAGAAAGTTAAACACCAATTCCATCATAGTTCTCAGAGTTTTGCGCTCGGGTATGGGGCTAGGCCTTGAACCATCCTAGAGGCTCAAACCCTACGCTGTTGTCGCTGGGCTCCCATGGGAGCTTGAAGCCTAGGAAGCAGCGCTCAAGCTCCGACTCCGAAGGCGACTGGACATAAGGGCTGTAATAGTTCAAAGGGGAAAAGGAGGGACCCTTAATGGGGACCCCTTACCCTATAATGGGCTATATAATGGGTATATAATGGCTATATTAAGGGTACTTGGAGGTTCATGGGTAGTTATAAGTAGGGTTATGAGTCCCCTAATGAGGGTTATAAGTATAGTTACCCTAGTTATAACCCGCCTACTTATAACTACCCATGAACCTCTAAGTAGGGGCTGTACTAGTGTGAATGATCGGGTTCCTGCAAAGGGTTCTTTTTAAGGCACCCTACAAGTGTCCATACGGGTACGGTTTCGTTAAGGCATACTACAAGGTCCATAAGGGTAGTACAAGGGCGTAACATAGGGGCCTCAATGCAATAGACGAGGGTTTCTTCAAACGGTTCCTGGCAAGGTTTAAAGTTTAACGGTTTCCTTTTGAGAGATATTAAAGGGTACTAGTAGAGTAGGGTTCCTTCAAAGGCGCGTGGTTGTTTGGGCTTTACTACGCGTTTCAGAGTTAGGGATGTTGGAATACTGTGGGAATTGCGCCCAGAGTGTTAACGGAAGGTGCTACATCAACTAACATACCCTAGGGTGTGGCAATTGTGGTATAATGTATACTCCTTCTTATGCAAATTCCGGAGCTGCTCCTGCAAAGAGGCTCGGAAGGCTTGTTTCGTTGTAGCATAGGAGCCAACATGGCACCTTGTGGCTCCATCTATAGCCCTACATGCGAGACCCAAAAGCCCCAAAAGCCCTAAGCCCTAAACCGGCGACAGGAACGAAGGTGCAGAAGACGGCCATCGAGAAGCTGAAAGCCGAGGGGCCAAAGTATCAATGCGAAAACTGCAGTGCCTGAGCCGAAAATGCTTGGACAAATTCGATGGGGAAGCCAGCGCCGTCTGCAAGTCGCAGATGGTCAATTCATGGCCCTCTTCCCTCCAAATTTAGCTTAGAAGTGTATGCTTAAGGCTGTAGCTGACACTCCGCCTACACGGTGTCTTCGGAGTATGAACGGGAGAGGCTTCAGCTCGCCCAGTGTGTGCCGGGGAAGTGGGGCCGCTTGCACTGACAGGGGTAGAGATAGATGGCTGCGATGTATATCAACTTCGCAGCTGGCCAGGAAGACCATGAAAGCTTCTAGACAAACAGCTGCCGAGACGAGGTCCGGTGCAGACGAGTCTGTAAGGTGTCTACTGCATGATGCATGAGGAGAATCTCTAAAGAGTGTGCGATTGCAATGCACATGTTCTGATTCAAGCTCCCTTCACGCGTTGTATGTTCGGGTCTTCCGATTTCGGAAGATCAAGCCTGAACCTCAGCGCTTTGATGGTCGGTTCTGGCATGGGGCCGCAGAGACACAAGTGGGCCGTGTTATCACTGCCCTGCCTTGTGCTCCTTGCTTGGGGAAGTCCTTGGGCACCCTGGGCCCGAACCCTGCCATTACCAAACTTCGAAAAGTACTACGGTTGATGATACAAATCCTGCATTACCTTAAGGACCCTAGAGTATGGAGATTATGCTATATTCCTTATTATGGGTAATGCAGGATTTATATCATGAACCCTAGGAACTTATCAACAACAGCACCGTTCATGATCATAAACGTCAGGAGGTGTTGCGAGTACTGGAGGCTTCACTGCATCACGTGTGATGCTATACTCGTAGAGTCTTGCCATACTCGCAAGCTTGACGCATTTGAAGCACTGGCAATACGTAGTGCTAGCGCATAGTACTCTATCAGTCTTGATCAACAACAACACTTAAGGGTCGATAACAGGCATTGTCCAAGAAAAGAAGTACTGGCAAATGGGATTGGGTGGTCGCTTGCGATGGACAGAGAACTCTTTGAGGTGCAAAGACGATGTACCCACCGACACTCGCATGTCTTTTCATGTAAAAGTAACATGCCTTAGTTCTCAGCTCATGTCAATGAAGCTTGCCCGAAGAAAATCCATAGTCGATGGCAGATGTCAAAAGGTCCGAGGGGTTGGAGGTCGGGGACACCAAGACGATGCCTTCGGCACAGTAGCAGAGACATCGCGGAAGGAAAAAGTCGGATTCTGGAGCTTGGATAGAGGTGTTTCATAAGCCTGAAACCCTAAACTCCAAAGTGTCCTAAACGATGGTTCAGCTCTCATCTTTGCAGCTCAGTTAGATGTCGGACTGTGTCTGACTGCAGCATGATGTGTTGAAGTGGAAGCCTGGACGACGTGGAACAGGGTTTTTTTCGATGCGTGGGTTTCAGGGTTAAGCTAGAGAGTCATACTCTACTGTTTTTTACGCCAACTCGTTGTGGGGTTAGGAACTGTTATATATTTAATTGCAAAAGTAAGTCTTCTATAAAAGGGGTACTTGCAGGTTCATGGGTAGTTATAAGTAGGGTTATAAGTCCCCGAATATGAGTTATAAGTATTGTTATCCTGCTTATAACTCCACTTACAACTACCCATGAACCTCCAAGTGGGGTACGACCCTTGCTGCAGGGGATTGAATTGTGTGGGTCATCTGATCAAACTCCGCAGCCAACAGACCTACAGCACCACGCAGTCCTCAAAATTCTGCATTTCGCACCTTGAGCGCCACATCCATGAAACCCGGACCCAAGGTGGCCCAAGCTGTGCACAACCACTAAAGAGCAGACCCTCAACACCACCATGCACCAAGGTAGAGCCTGATCTTTCCGCCCTCACGGCCCTGAACCTGTCAGTCATCTGGAGAAAGAGTTAAAGAGGTGCAACCACTGGGGCCTCAATAATCAGCATAAGGTTTTGGTGAACATGGTTTGAATTGTTTAGTCCCGTTTTGTAGGGACTAACCGTAGGCTACTATTGCTAACTGTAATTCCGAGGCCGAGGTGTGCACGCATCTTTCTGTGTCAAGCTCTTCCGTACATGCACACAGACAAAGACTACACTCGGCTGAATGAACGAACTAGTTTAGGTATGTACTCGTATGTATGTGTTTGTATGCATGAATGGATGCATGTCTCGGGTATGACTAACACCTGCTTACAAACCCCTAACCCTGGTGTGACTCTGGGTCGTGCCTGAGGTGGAGGCTTGGTCGTGTACGACCTGCGCTTCCTTCGGCCCTGGAAACATTGGAAGGATCGGCTACATGAGCGACTCGTAGAGTTTAAACTACCTGATATAGAAGCTGAAAGGCTTGAATGACGAGTGATGCTATTTGTCAGGGTCTTTGCTACGTTTTTGGAGTAGTGCATTCTACCTCTCAAGGGTCTTGCAGTAATGGTCGAGAGATGAGGCTTGCAGCAATGGTAGACAAGGGCAGTTACCCAGGGTTTACGGAATCGGGATCATGGAATGTTCTTGGTTTTGGAAATACTTCTTTCTACACTTGGCTGTTCAAGTTTTCTATATGTAGTTTTCCGACAGTAGTGGGGTCAATGGTTTGCTGTTGGTAGCTTCGTAGTGCCGCCATTTGCTAGTGTTGCAGTGTGCTCGACTAGATACTGATGTTGGATAATTTCTCGTTTATGGCACCCTAACTATACTAATTTTTGCGGAGGTTGAAATCGACCCCTGTAGACAAGCTTCAAGTGCATTTTTGCACGCCGCGTCACAACCTCGCCGTTCATGCACGAACAACTGCGAACTTATCCTTCAAAATCGGGTAACTCCCTTATCATAAAGCAAGCCCTCAACCAAATAAATCCGAGGGTGTAAGGCTTAACTGGGTGCCGTCGAAGAGGTTTCCCATCGCCAGGCTTCTGGGCGTTGAGTTTTCTTTCGCCTCGGTTGGCCGACATGAGTCTTCGGGTTTAGGGGTTTAGGGTTTAGGGCTTAGGAATGACATACCTCTCTCGCCCGCAACAGCCTATGCTTCATCAATGAGCCCCAAAACATTCCAGTATTCATATGTGAACCCTTTGCAAGTTACTACGCCCTAAAAACCCTCATGAAAGCCTAAGCCGTTTGAGGCCCCCATGTTAAGCCACAGCCCTTAGATGTGAAGGTGTCCACAAGAGCTGGGATTCTCTCCCTGAGGCTGCCGTGGTCGTACATTCCGAGGGCAAAAGGAGGGACCCTTAATAAGGACCCCTAGGTCCTAGGTATATATCCTTAATATAGCTATTTTATACCCATTATATAGCCCATTATAGGGTAGGGGTCCCCATTAAGGATCCCTCCTTTTCCCCTTTGATACATGCAGTCTGTGATTCTGCGTTAGGCTCTTGGAAGGCTCTAGGTTTAGGATTCTACAGGGTATTCGGAGTTCAGGGTTCAGGATTCTACAGGGCATTTGGGGTTTAGGGTTTAGGATTTCGGATTCTATTTTGTGGCCGTTGGGTTCATGTTTTAGGACTGGGCGTTGAGGTTTATGCTCTTGACCAAACTCCAAACTCCAACAGGTCAAACCCTAAGCCCCAAGACCCGAACCCGCAAGCCCTAAACCCTACCCATAGGCCCCGTAGTAGCACATTTTGGGATTACCTTATAGGATTCTACATATGAACCCCCAAACGAAACAACTATGTGGATTTCCTTTTCGAATTTTGACATATGAACCCCAAAAAGAAACAACTATGGGGATTTCCTTTTCGAGTTTTGACATATGAACCCTCAAAAGAAACAACTATGGGGATTTCCCGCTTGGATTCGACATATGAACCCCAAAAAGAAACAACTATGGGGTTTTCCTTTTTGGATTCGACATATGAACCCAAAAAAGAAACAACTATGGGGATTTCCTTTTCGAGTTTTGACATATGAACCCTCAAAAGTAACAACTATGGGGATTTCCCGCTTGGATTCGACATATGAACCCCCAAAAAGAAACAACTATGGGGATTTCCCGCTTGGATTCGACATATGAACTCCAAAAAAGAAACAACTATGGGGTTTTCCCGCTTGGATTCGACGTATGAACTCCAAAAAAGAAACAACTATGGGGTTTTCCTTTTTGGATTCGACATATGAACCCCAAAAAAGAAAGAAACAACTATGGGGCCTATGGGTATACTTGAAGGTCAGCAGACTTCGCTTCGTCTCCGGGGGTCTTTGCGGTGCTTACCTCGGCTGGGCAGCTAGGGGCGAGTACGAAGGTTCAGGGGTAGATACAAGTGGGGTTATAAGTCACCCAATATGAGCTATAAATATAGTGATCCTACTTAACACCACTTATAACTACCCATGAACCTCCAAGTAGGGTTCAGGGTTCGGGTTCAGGGTGGAGAGGTCATGGTTTGGAGCCTAGGGCGAGGGGAGTGTGGAGGGTTGGGGGTTTGTACTGTCGTGGGTATTCTGAGATGCTCCATCATGGGGGATTCGGCTTGCATGTTTTCGCGCATTGTTGGTCCTAGGTCGCTCTGCCAGGAGCCCAAGTTGTCCAGAAGAAGCACGAAAAATGCCACTCCTCAGGGTATGATGTTAGGGACTTCAGGGTTTAGGATTCAGGGATCTCGGGAGAGCAGGTTGCTTCTGAACTTCTCCGCGCTGTGCCGGACAGCTTTCGAGATCTGTGGGCTCCGAAATCCTGTAGCTGTCGTTCCCACAATCACTGGTCCTAAGCCCCTAAACCTAAACCTCTAAAGCCTACACCCCAAACGCTAATCCTAAATCCCCTAAACCCTGCGAATTCTAGACCCTGACCCCCAAACTCAATTCTTAAACCTTGGTCATTGGGCCCCAACTCCAGAACTCTGGCCTGCCTCAGATCAAATCAAATTCACACAGAGGCCCTTGGATCACGAATGAACGAAGTGGCACTCTACGACGTGACTCAAGGCTGGTTGGGGGGGCTGCTTCTCCTTGAGCCTTACACCTTACACCCGAGATTGTAAGAAGGCATGGTGGGCTTTGTGATCTTAAGCTGCAGCCCTACCTCCACCGGCAGTAAGACTGGTGTAGTTGAGGGATACCTCAGAGCTTCAGGGCTTTTGTCCACGGGAGTTTAGGGCTTGTTTCTGGCTTCAAAGGGCTGAGTCCCAGACCGCTTTCGGATTGCCGTAAGCTTGACCCCAAAACCCAAGTAGAGACCTAAACCCTAAACCCTAAACCCTAAACCCTAAACCCCCCCCCCAAGACCCCAAGCCATCAACCACAGACCCCTAAGCCGCCAGGAAACAGAGCCACGAGCCACAGGCAGAGCAAGTCCAAGAAGAACCTCAAGAGTTGCAGCCTGACGCTAAGTCCTAGTAGTAGAGTAGTAGAGTAGGTAACCTTTAACCGCTTTTGGGTAGTATAGTCCCTATATAGCCCCTATTTTAGCCAAAAAGGTTAACCTTTAGTTCCCCATGATACCCGACAAGTAGGAAACCTGAAGCCTACAGGGCCTCAGCAACTCCTACACCAAATTCAGTTCACGAGGCTCATGCCTGACTCTCTTCCTGACCGATCCGGTGGGCGAGAAGCCCAAAGAGGCGGGGGACGAAAATTTGAAAACCCGATCGCCCGAAAGCTACAGCACGACCTTTCCCTAAAGACAGATGCCGGCAGCAATGCAGAAGCATTCGGAACCGCGCAATCCTAAACTCCAAACTGTATATCAACTACCGGTAGAGCGGTTTCGGGCTTCGGGTAGTGTCTCCATAGCTTCATGGTCACTATAGGGCATGCTGGTTTGCGAATGACACGATGTTATAGAAGCATGCACTGTAGATCTGGAATGTGCCGCAGTCTGGCTTTTGAATGCAAAGCTTATTGACGTTACACTTATTCCTGAGCTGCTTGAGTTGGTCGTGTGGGGTCAGTGTCGTACCGTCCTTGTCTTCCCACTGATTGCCGGTCATGGGGGGACCACAGTGCTACCATTACGCTTCTGCACCGTTGAACAGCGCCCTGCGAGGGCTCCTAGACACTTGTCAAAGGCATTTTCCTTCAGAGCTGTCTGACTGGTTGACTGTTGGAATGCGGCCTTTCAGGCTCCAAGGCTGCCTACCAACAGCCACAAAATACCGAGCACATCTTTATGACTTGATGTTTCTGCACCTGAATGTAATTCTGATCCCAGCATCAAAGCAAACTTCAGCAAGCCCCTGAATTTCCTCTCCGGCGATCAGGGCTTGTTAAGGGATCTAATTCCAGTTATAATCACAAGGAAACCATACTATTTACTATAGATACCTATTATGGTAACTTAAGTTAAATGCCTTAACAAAGAACCCATCAATCCATGGCACCGAGGATGCACTGAGCATCCCGACGCTTGTGGAGCTGCCTGTGGTTGCAGGCACTTCGGGGCTCCGGGGCTTGCCGGGAGCAATGTACGGGGCCTGAATCCTCAGGGAAATTTGAACTATTTTTCAGTTTTGTTGCCTATGATCGTAAAGTTCTTAATTTTGCTAGGGGGGTCTAAGCTCAGTATAGAATCCCCGTTGAGTCCGTGTATTCTTGGACTATACTGTACAGCATACCCCGACACCCGTTCTTTTTGGGTAGTTCTCTAAATTCGGGCAGTTTGTAGGTCCCCCAAACAGTACGGCACCCTTGTCAAAGGGACCCCAAAACTGATCCTAATCTAGAGAACTACCGGTTTTGATTTGCTTTGCAGGCCCTTCGGGGTTTGACAGGGAAGCTCAGGTTCAGCGCCCGTGGTGCAAAGTTTTGAGGGGTTGAGCGCTTTCCGAGATAAGGACTGTTTGGTGCGTGGGGTGTAGTGTGTGTCGAGCTTCTCCTTAACTATTCAGCATGAGCTGTTCCCGACCCAGCACTGTTGGCGGCCCTCAGAAAACAGCCACTACGGATACTATTTCAAGACAGCCTGTGTCACAAGTACGCAGTGTACGGATGTATGTATGCATGGGAAAGGCAGGAGTTTAGCTTCACGTTGCTGCAAGACAGTAGCATTGCCATGTGAACAAACCGGTGCTGTATCCCAGTATGGGTGGTTGGCAAAATTAGGGTCCCTTATTGAATCCGTATTGTAATATGGCACCTATTATTTAGGGTACCCAAAAGGGGACCCCAATTTTGACAACCACCCCGATATAGTATTTATCATCTATGGAATTCGCAGTCCAAAATACCGAAACGCATGAACCCGGAGTCGGCCGCGTGTTCAGGAGTGCCGAAAGTGACGTGGGAAGACCCATGTCCGCTCCTGCCCAGCCCCGAGCGTATCTCGGGTCTTCGGCTTGGGGCTTGTAGGGTTTTGGGTTTAGGGGTACTATAGGGGCCTTATAAATTACCTATACTATTTTGGGGCGTATTATATTTATATAATGGGCCCCAAAGCCCTATTCTAATTGCGTGAAACCTGTTTTGCACTCAGATGTGCCCACCCCAACCCCGCCCATGTGCTAGGAACTGCAGCACATGGGTAGAGGCGGACGCGTGCACCTTAAGGGCAGTGCACCTCATCTTCCACACTAATCATTAAGGCCCCTGCATGATTGGGCTCGGGTCGAGGCCTGGGCTTCTGGCTCGGGCTTAGGGATTATGAGGTACAAGGGCTTAGCAGGGTTTGAGCGTTTCGGTTTCAGGGGTCAGGGTTTCGGGCTTTAGGGTTTTCTGCAAAACCGGGAGTTCTGGCGATCATAAAAAGGATGCTGCAACTCCCATGTAAGAGGCGGGCTCCAAGGGTAACTCTAAGGGTCCATGTACCCAGCTAGTATAATATATACATATACATCTACAGACATATGTTTTATATATATATATATATATATATGCTCACGCCCCCCCCCCCCCCCCCCCTGATCCACCCGAACCTGCTTCTTGCAAACAGTGGATCATGGGAGGTGGGCAGCCTCGGATGCGAAAACACTGCCAGGCACCAATTTCCCCAAAGTTTGCAAAGCTGGAAGTGCGAAAACATCGACAGGCACCAATTTCCCCAAAATCCCCAAACTCTGGGCAACTATGGCCCGGCACGCCTCATAGATGCAGGGATTTGGGGGATTTTGGGGAAATTGGAGCATAGCGAGGTTTTGGCACTTCCAGCGTCACAAACTTTGGGGAAATTGGTGCCTGGCGGTGTTTTGGCAACCTCGGATGCGAAAACACTGCCAGGCACCAATTTCCCCAAAGTTTGCAAAGGCGGAAGTGCGAAAACATCGACAGGCACCAATTTCCCCAAAATCCCCAAACTCTGAGCAACTATGGCCCGGCACGCCTCATAGATGCCGGGATTTTGGGGATTTTGGGGAAATTGGAGCATAGCGAGGTTTTGGCACTTCCAGCGTCACAAACTTTGGGGAAATTGGTGCCTGGCGGTGTTTTGGCAACCTCGGATGCGAAAACACTGCCAGGCACCAATTTCCCCAAAGTTTGCAAAGGCGGAAGTGCGAAAACATCGACAGGCACCAATTTCCCCAAAAATCCCAAACTCTGAGCAACTATGGCCCGGCACGCCTCATAGATGCCGGGATTTGGGGGATTTTGGGGAAATTGGAGCATAGCGAGGTTTTGGCACTTCCAGCCTCACAAACTTTGGGGAAATTGGTGCCTGGCGGCGTTTTGGCAACCTCGGATGCGAAAACCCCGCCAGGCACCAATTTCCCCAAAATTCATACAGCTGAACTCTGACGGCCTCCATAGATGCCAGGATTTCGGGGATTTTAGTGAAATTGGTGCCTGGCGAGGTTTTGGCACTTCCAGCCTCACAAAGTTTGGGGAAATTGGTGCCTGGCGGTGTTTTGGCAACCTCGGATGCGAAAACACTGCCAGGCTCGAATCTCCAAGATTCCTGAAACCTGAAATGCAAAAGTCATAGAAGAACAGCCGTACCATGTGCTCATACATGAGCCTTCAATTGCTTCCGTTCTCAAGTGTGCTCTTGCTTCTTTCATCGAACAAAGTCATAGCTGTTGTTAAGATCACCTTTGCTCAATGTAAGAAATAGAAGAACAGCTGTACTTTAGAATATTGAAACCTGCTTGTGTTTGTGGATGCTTTAGAACGTTTTTTTTGCGAATGCACATGTTCGTTGAACTGTACATCATGTTTAGATGCTGTCGAGTTCTTAAACTCTTGCCCGTAGCTTGAACAAAGAAGAAGTATTCCTTGTATTCTATATTACCTCACAAACTGAAGAAGCTGATAAGCTCCGATATTTCATATCATTACATATAAGGTGCCATTCAGGCGACACTGGGGAACCTGGTAAATGAGCTTTCAATTGCTTCGATTACTGGCGGTACTAACTCTTCTCTCGTGGAGCAAAATCATAACCGAGTCAAGGTCAACCTTGCTCAAGAAGTAAGTCCAGTGTTTGACTGTTTTCCTTAAAGCATAATGAGAAAAGATGTTTGTCCACCATTTCTTGGAGGCTATGAGGAGGGGTCTGGAGCTGTTTCATGCTGTATTCAAAGATGGCAGGAGCTATATAACTCTTGCGAGTAGCGCCGTGCAACGGAGCTCGATTATGTGTTCTGAGCCAGGATCGTCTTGCATCTGTTAAAAAAAAACAAATGTGTTCAATAACGAATGCTTTCCAGATACATGCTTGTCTTAATTCCCACGAAGTATAAAGCGTAAGAAGCTCGACATACTATGCTTGTGACCGAATGTGTTTGGAGTTTGGTGGAGGGAGACCATGTCTTTCCCTAATCACTCCGATTTTGTGGTATTGGTATACTGCAAGAGCTCGTTGAGTTCCAGCCACTGAGTTCCAGCGACTGATAAGGGACTAAGGTGGCTTATTGTGTTTCTTTGTGCTGAAACAAGATTTCTATTGATAACACCACCTGAACAAGAACAACCATGCTTCCCTTGTCGGTTGAAATTTTGAAGATATGATGTTGTTCGAGGTTCCCTTGAAGCATGAAGATACACGGGGATTCCTTTCCATGTCTGATGGTGAGCACCTTTGTTTAGTGTGGTTACAATGTTGCTAGTAAGCCAAACATACCACTGGCATGTTTGCTTTCACTGAAGGAGTTGTCCTTACAGCTTATGTTATGAAGAGAAGAACAGCTGTGTCTATTCAAACTGTACATCGTAAGTAGTTCGACAAACTCCAAAATAGGAAGGCCAAGTTTTGACTTGAACAGCAAGAGCTGATACGAAGCAGTGGACAAGAGCGCGGCAGCAGAACCAGAATCCAGAACCAGAATCTGGTTTCGGTTTTGGCTTGTTTGTATATGATATAAAAAGCGAAAAGCCGCATCTGTACATGTACATGAACTGCATAAAACAGCGTAAATACCGATAGGTTCTGACTTTAGCAATACGCATCTTGTACCAGAGGACAGTACAGGAGTAGTTGAGGAGAAGGCTGGGGTGGATCATGGGGGGGGGGTGTGACCATATATATATATATATATATGTGTACATTGGCGCCAAAGTATTTGGGTACATGGACCTTGAGGGTACGGAACACCAGCTGGAGCCCGGATTTGACAAATGCCGCAGGGCTATGCATTTGGCAGCGTGGTGCTGTTAAGACCCTCAGTCGCCACTGGAACCATCGCACGGTTTTGTATTTTATCGTTCTACGATGAAGGAGCCCAAAACCCTATTCTAATCATTAAGGCCCCTATGCTACTTCGCCGTCTGCCCTCCGTTCCAGGCAGACCACCTTCTCCTTGCAAACCAGCTTTCTCGAGGGCCGTAGTCTGGGCTTCTCCAGCCGCGTGTCGTGACGAAAAGTGGTCGATGGATCTGTCTCGAGCACACAGTGATAGCGTGGTTGCAGTCCCTGCCGAGACAACAGTGGATTGCTCGAGGCTTGCTTCGACCTAGTACAGATGTCTGATACAGTTTGTAACTCTATCCGACCCGCTGTCATTAGTCAAGACCCTTGATCACATATGAAGGGCTCTCGGCCCCCTACATTCGGAAAAACCTGGGTGTACCCTGAAGCCCGAAACCCTGTACACGCATTCAGGAGCCACCCTACACACCAGAGCCCCCAAGCCTGAACAGTGCAAAGCCTGAAACCACAAGCTTCACCATAACCGCGACCTCCAACTCACGAACCCTCAAGCCTAACACTCGACAGCTTCTTCCCTCAAAGCCTATGTACGGCCTGAGCCCTGAACCCCTTAAACGCTCCAAGCCCCAAGCCCGAAACTCGTGAGCCGCCCAGGGCTCAAACACGACTCAGGTCTGGTGCAAGCTCCGGAACCGGAAGCGTCCGGTCACTCTGGTCCGCCCCGATCGTTCAATTTGGTTGTAAGGTCGTGATTTCCTGATACGTTCCTTGAAGGCGTAGGTTGTAGGGCTACAGGTAGGGCTCGGGGTTTCGGGCTCGTGGGGCTCGGAGTGTGATGGAGGGTTTGAGTTGAAGTTTGGGTTTAGGAGCTTAAGTGAGGGCTGCAGAGACCAGTTGTCACGCTGAGTAGAATACCAAATTCTAAACCTTAAACTTCACCCTGAACCAAGCCCTATACCCCTAGTGTTCAGAAGCCTCGTCTACCTGACTGGCAGTCCACAAGTCAGCTTAGGGATGGGATTGTGGGACCATTTTGTAGGCTTTCTTAAACTCATGTTTCGGGTACCCACAACGTTAATCCTAAAGCCAAGGTGGTTTCCGAAACTGGGGACCCCAATATAGTACCCTAACTAGTAGGATCCTTTTTGTAAGGACCCCAAAATATGGAACCCGCGATTATCGGAAACTTCCACATGAGCCCTGATCCGTAAAGATTTAGACTCAGCCCCGACTTTCCAGAACCGGTTCGGTTGGGCCGCCTTGGTGTGGACGAGCGGCTTGAAAAGCTCGCAATGAAAAGATCCCTTCAGGGTCTAGGGCTTGGGGTCACTGCTGACGGTTTCGAGTTCTACGATACCATCCTAACACGGATAATGAGCCGAATAAGAATGACAACAAGCATAGTAATCGTCACAACTAGTGATTCTAATGATACCCATAATTAAGAATAATAATACTAATAACATTCGGGCCTCTGGAATATCTAGAGTTGGGTTTTGCCAAGGCACAGGGCAGAGTGCGGGTAAAGTTTCCGGTTAAGAGTTCAGGGTTTCCGAGGGTCGCTTCGCATCGAACTTGGAACACCTGATTGCTGAATCCTTCCGGGCAAGTAAGTTCGAGTAGAGCGTTCATTCTGAGACCACAACCCTACAACCCAAAGCCTCAAGCCTCAACCCCAAAGCCACGGTCGCCACAGGCTGCCGCCTCGTGGCGTGCAGACCTTTCTTCTTACGGCAGGCTCAGATCGCAAGGCGCAGTTTTATGTCGAGTCCGAATTTCAGGGCTTAAACAGCCAACAACATGTCGTAGGGTTTCTTAACGTTGACATATACAATGATAAACTCTTTCACCCTATTGGCAAGATTGAGCCTCCGGTTTTACACCCACAGCCCTCAAGTCCAAGGCCAGCAATGAAAAGACCCAGGCTCAATCCGAAGCGAAAGAAGACTCCCTAAAGCCCAAACCAGCGTACTGTAAGCCCTTATAAAGCCGGAACCATGGCACACTGAAGATTGGTATTCTGAGTTTTTCATAATTAGTGTTATTATCATTCTTCTATATACATGCTTTGTCTTTGAAGCCATTGCAGAGTTGAGATTCTGCCGCTTTGGAATCCGGGCGTCATCCTTCAGACTGCGGCGTCGGACTTTTAATTCATGTGACTTCGCTCGAGCCTACTTAGTATGCTTGGTCAAGGGGCTGCTATGACTAGTCTGACTCCTCTTCCCACCTCTTAATGTTTTGTACCTGTGATCCCAAACCCTACAAAATAGCCTCAACCATTAACGCAGTAGGTCAATGGATTCACAGGCAAGCCATAGAACCATCAGATGAATCACAAACTGAAATGGGATGCACTAATTAACTACCAGGACCCCACAGATACCCTTCATGGAGTTTTGAGTGGATGGTGTATAGGCCATCTCAAGGGTAGGTGGGGCGTCAAGGTGGGGTTTGTACAATCCCACTAAAAATAGCAGCTCACCCTTTTGGTAGCCAAGAAACTCAGCAACTAGTGCATGAGCATCTGCGCAATCTCCTCAGTCAGTTTGAGTACGGCCCAACGTTCTTTGCAACCATGCCTAGGAGATCTGTTCGTGAACATGCCCTCCGGTTGCTACTAAGCCCCAACCCAAAATGCGATGACGGTATCCCCAGCCCAACCCCGCAACCCTAAAACCCCAAACCTAAAGTCCTAGCCTGAATCTGCAGAACCCATACAATGCAGATTCCCAAAAGGTCTAGCATTGAGCCCCGTTGTAGTACCTGTGAATTACGAATCCTTCATACCGGTCGTGCTACCCCAAACCCAAATCCTAAACCCTACTACCTCACTTTTCAGAGGTTCGGCACTGGAGCTTGGATCCTGGACAGACCAGCCAGGTGCCACTCCACAAGGGAGTCCTGGTGGTGAAGGTTTAGGAGGCGTCGGGTGCTTCTGGTAGGACAAGCCTAGGTACCCCACTCAACGCGCGATAGTGTACAACGCCCTATGGAGAGTTTATAGTGCTGTAGTAGTCTTTTGCCGAGTCTCCGACGTGCGGTGCATCTGGCAGAGACAAGGCTATTCTTGGAGGGTGGGGGTAAGGACTCACTATATAGCACAATATCCAACCAAACCCTGCTAATCAGTATGGCCCCTATCAGAGCTTCCGAGGTCGCCGATAGCTTACTGGTCAGCATTTCGGTTGCCGACGCCAAGCACAGCATTCAGTTTGGCGCTTTTGACTTTGAGGTGTTTGGACCGATGTAAGGCCTTCAGCCATCAACTCCACTTAGTCACTACCCAAAGGCTCCAAAGTAGCTCCTTTTTGGGATTACCTTATAGGGTTCTAAATATGAACCCCAAAAAGGAACTACTATGGAGCCTCTAGGTAGGCTCGGAAACTGGTTTTATTCCTAAGCCCCAAGCCATCGCGCTGCTTCGAATCCAGGGCGGACTCGTCATGATCCTTCCGTCGACATGTCGATCCCGAAACTTAAGACAGCACCTGAGTAATGTAGGAACCTGATGAAGAAACCTTGGGCCGTTATTGGGGTTCCTTACATGAACCCTGCTACTCTGGGGGTTATAGGCCCAGGGTTTCCTAATCAGGTTCCTGCCTTATGTCCTAGCATTGTCTTCTTCAAGTAACATGTATCCCGTAATGCTGAAAACCTGCGCGGTTCGGAGCCGCAAACTCCACGACCCCCAGAAGCCGTGAAACTTACCTTTGGTTGGTAGGGAATGGAAGAACGGTAGTAATAGTAGTTATAATGGTACCCCATTCCTCCATTCCCTACCAACCAAAGGTAAGGAAAGAGAAGCTCGCAGGAGTGCGCTGTCGTGACCCCATCCGACGTGCCGGGCGAGACGGAAAGGCACAGCAGGGGGGGAGCCAGGGTTGCGGTGCCTAGGGCTGGGACCTTTTGTTTTATTTGTACATTCTCTTCAAGAGTTTGTAGGATTTGCAGCATTATAGGCATAGCTGATTGAAGGCTTACAGTTTGCGGGGGTTGAAAGCCGAGGGTTTTAAGGCCCGACATTGAGATTCTATACTGATTGCATTGGATGGCTGATTCGTTAAGGCTTTGGAGGGTCCGATAGCAAAATTGAGGGCCTGTGGACTGGTTTGAGTTGGGCAATGTGATGTTCAGGGAGTCCGCACACGTTGAGACTTATTGCAAGTCAACTCCCGCCCTCTCCCCCTTCCTTTCCGCGGTGACCTGCATGTTCAGAATCCCTCTTTTTGAAGGCATCTCTGGAGGATCCTGCCTAATCGGGATAGGGAGCGACTCCCAAAATACAGCGAAACACTGATGTGTTTTTGGTTCGGGGCTGCCATCCAATGCTTGTGCCGGGCTCAGGCCACCGCCCTATCAGTAGGTCTGAGACCCAGGCCTACCTACACCGCCAGCCACCTCGGGGACGTCTTCGTCGTGCAGGTTGGGTATTACGGGGAGGGGTGAGGTCATCTTGGGGTAGGAATGGAGCTTGACAGTCAGTTGGAGTTTAGAGCTTCGCGTCAGTTTTGCAGTTTGGTAGATATCTAGGGTTTCGAATTTAGGGCCTTCAACACCCGAATCCAATTTCCATCTTGATTTTTGAAAAATTCCACGCTTTGCAACAGTTCAGCGGTTTGGATCGGAATCCAATTCCTACGCCTTACATAATCGCTGTATAGGATGTACAGCGGTTTCACTAAGGGAATGGTCCAGGGCCGGGTTTGCATTCGGGCTTCCATTTTGCTAGAATGTCTTCTCCTTATTATTCTGGCTCAAGGCAAGCCCCTCGACCCTAAAACGAATTGACAAAAGCATGCAGTATAAGGCTCCAGGATTTAACTCCGGAGAGACTTTGCCTCTTGCTCAGCTGTGTAGGTCCGGCATCGGGCAGCTCATGGAAGGGCTTTGCAGGCTTTAGTGACTAAATAATGTAGGAACCTGATTAAGAAACCTTGGGCCTTTATCAAGGTTCCTTATATGAATCCTACTATTTTGGCGTCATAGGCTGAGGGTTTCTTGATCAGGTTCCGACATTATCTGCCGGAAGTGCTCCAGTTTCTCCACCTGCGCCATTCGGATCTGGAGAATCAGTCGGTTGCTTTGTAGTATCAACATGTCCTGCTAAATCCGAAGAAGCAACATTCAAGCCCAAAGAGCCCTGGAAACCCGAAACTCCAAACCCCAGAATGCTGAAGCTCATAGCCCATAAAGCACGACATCATGAATCATAACATTCATAGTCGTAAACTCCTATACACTTCCGCAATCCTTACACCCTCAGTCCCTCAACCATAAAAACTATTCCCCTTGGTCCGCATGGTGCTTTTGCGACTGGTGGTGCTGCTATGCGTCGCATGGCTCCCTGCCTGCAATGCAGATCTGCGCTGATTTCTGCAAGCGTACTTTGGGCTTAGGCTAAAGATTCCACAACGGGTTTGGGGTTCCGTTTGATGCCTGGTCTTTGCTTGCAAGCTTATGCCCTATGCCACACTCTTCGCAAGCCTTACTGGGAAGGATCCATGCCTCAAAGACATCGTAGGTTCATTACGGGACTGTTTGGGTACGCAGTATTGGGTTGTCAACGCCAGAAGCCATTCAGAGTCTACTTCTTGCCACCCGAGCGAACCACTACTACTTGCAAGAGCACGACAGAGCTGCTTCACTTTTGTTGATGCTATCCTAACCCCTAGTACCCAATCACATCCGATCCTCAAGCACCTATGTAATCATAGGGTCCATTGGACCCCTCTAACGAAGCACATCTTCTCCGGCCCATCTGCACGCAACGAGCGAAAGGGATGCCCAAATAAGATCCCTTGATGCGCCAGAGTCTCCAAGTCCCGCTCCTGTTTCGACTCCCAAAAGGCAGCCCCTAAGCTGCAAACTTCCGAGCAACCTGCACCACCCAGGCCCCCCCGTCTGCTCTCTATTAGTTAGGAACCACTTGCGGGTTCAGATTCTCTATTTCATGCTAAACTCACCTCGCTCACTATTACTATCAGTAACCATGTACATCTTTGTTTAACGGTAGTATGTACACCGTTGCCCGATTCTCGTCAGTAAGGTTCGCGTACGTTGCCCTGTTTGAGGGTAGAACGCGGGGTCCCACGCTTCAGGGTTTCGGGTTTACGGTTAGAATTCTAAACCCTAGACCCTCAGTGCTAAACCCTAAAGCCTACCCTAAATCCTCAACCCTAAACCCGAGGATGATGAGAGGCGGCCCGGGGAAGGCTGGGTCCAGGAATTCTCGCCTTCTTGGGAGCTTCGGAGTTAGGTTTAGGGTTCGGGGTCTGGGGTTTATAGGGCTTTGGGGTTTAATTTCAGGTCTGGGGTTTAGGGTTTTAGGTTTGGAGTTCGGGGATGAAGGGTCTTTTGGTCCGGAGTTTGGAGCATTCGGGTTGTCAGGCCAAGGATGGGGACCCTAAACCCTTAAAGCGCAGTTCCATAACCCTTTAACCTATGTCAACCTTAGCTTAACCCTGAAGCCCTAACCCTACCCCTACCCCCCGCCCGAAAAACACAAAAATCAGTGCTTTTGGTGTTTCGTGTGTGCCGAAGCGAAACTCTCTGCCTTCGCCTGAGTCTGCATTGGTCGTTTCAGCCTGGGTTATAAGTACCTTTATTGGGGTTATAAGTAATTATAAGTATAGTTACCTTAACTATGACCCTAGTTCCTACGTCCCATGATCTTTCAAGGTTTAAAGGCCCGCAATGTGACATCCCAGCTTCCACCTCGACAATGAAGGAACACTGGAAAGCAATGAAGCACGAATTAACACAGCACGGAACGTTTGTGGTCAGACGGCTCTGCGCCAAAAGCCTATTGCAATCGGATAGGGTTCTTTGTCTGTGTGCATGTGCTGCATTTTCTTATCTGGTACTTTCCCGGTTCTTGAAGTTCAAGACGGGAGTTGTGCCCTAAACCCCTAAACCCTACACCCCCAATCCTGAACCCGGATTTTGGGTTGCCACCAAAAACCGGAGCCACTCCCGTGACAAAGCCCCAGACAGGGGCTGCTGGTTTAGGGTTTAACTCAGACAAAATTCTGCCGGATATACCTGCATGCTGACGGGTAGGAGAGCCCTAAACTCGAAACTGTGGGACTGCGTGCTCCGGACCAGTACTTGATGAGAAGCAAGGTAGTCGTGTAAGTAGGAACCCTGGGGCCCTAAGGAGCAATGTTCGTAAGTAGTCGGTCTCTTTTTTTTTTGGAGTTCGGCGTCGGAGGCCGCAACGGCAGTCATCGGCTCTGGCACAAAGCGGCTGCCACATAGCTTGCACTGGTCGGCAAGCCCCTTAGGTTATAGAGGCTGCAGAATGTACAGGCATTTGGGTCTGATAGGGATAGGTCTGATAGCAGCTTCACGATTGACTGGAGGAAGAGTGTTAGCAAGTCCAGTCCCGATTCAACGTGAGGGCTTTTTTGGTGTTGGTGCTTCGATGTCTGGGTCGCAAGTCCTGAAGAAGGATAAGTCTCTAATCCCCCACTGAGCCCGAGAAAAAAAATCTTGAATTCCGAAGCTTGAAACCGTTTGCACTCCTCCCTACGTTTCTACATTCCCAAAGCCCTATCACGGCGAATTAAAGCTTCAAGCTTTAGGCCCTAAACCCGAAACCCTAAGGCTCAACATATAGCCCCAGAGCGTTCGGTACGTGGCCGAAGAGCCTTGCCGCATTCTGGCAAAGCCTAGACCCCTAGTGAGTGGTAAAGCCTAAGTGCGAACGGACTGCGATGCCTTGTCATGTTCTAAGGTGTCACTATAAGAGCTGTGAGCAAGACCGTGTAAAGTGCAAGAGAAGGGGGCACGCTACGCGTCCCTCGACTCTAGGGGGCATGCTACGCATCCCTCATCTTTACCTTTCTATGTGACCGCCAACGCAACGTTTGGCTCAAGTCAATGCCCATAGCTAAGTGCTATATGTGTCTTCTATCCTGAGCAATCAGAGCTATCCCGTTGCACAGACGAACCGCCGCCGGCAGTGAGTGCAAAAGGAACGGCCGCCGGTTCTGCCTGCATAGGATTGCACGTGTGGAAGTAAGAGGGAGAGACAGGGTCCAGTCTGTGGAGAGTGCTAGCCAGCCACACCTACATTCATTACAGCTCTGGTGGGGAGAGCAGCAACCAAGTCGAGATCAATCCCCCACGCAGGTTATCAGCCGTACGCGGCTCTGCCTTTCTACAGCAACGACTACTTGATCTACTACGACCACAATGAACTCAGGATCAAGTCAAGATACGACAATGACTTTCGGTGCCGATGTGGCAGCGCCAGCCGTTGGTGAGTCAACAGCTGATGACACAGTGGTGCAATCCGTTGATAGCTCCACGGAAGATGACAAAGGTCAATCTTCTGCGCTTGCCATTGCAAAGGCAGTTCCCAAGGGGAAAGCAAAGAGTCTACCAAGAGCATCTACGCCTTCACGTCCGACATCCACAGGTTCGAGGACGGGCAAGGCTTCAGAACGACGGGCCGAAGCGTCTGGTTTTCAGGCACCTCGGACTACGTCCAGGGCCAAGGACAAAGGAGTCAAGACCTTGGAAAAGAAGTCAAGACCATCATCTTCGAGAAGCTCTTCAGCACGATCGAGGACTTCGGCTACTCGTGGGCGTGACAAGTCCATGACTTGGAATCGGATGGTTACCAATCAACCACGCGATACTGACGATCTGGACATGACTCTGGATACGATTCCTGCACGTGGTGATGCGTCATCCGTGGCCACGCCTGCAATAGCTGACGGTCCGAATGCCTACCAGGAGCTGACGATTTCGCAACAGTTCGAAGCATCGAACCTTGCACAGCAGATGTACTATCGCAGTCAGGTGCAAGAATACGAAGGAATCGTCCAGACCCTGATGGACAAGATCAAAGAGATGCAACAAGAAGATGAAGGATCTGGAATTCGCATTGAGGAATTGGAACGACAACGTGATCATGCATGCTTAGCCATGAGGCACATCAACAATGTCAATCAGGAGATGAAGCGAGACTATGAAACAGCTTTGTTTCGCATGGATGAGCAGAACTCTGCTCAACAACGTCAAGCACATGCCGTTGCCGAGGATTTAGCTCAACAGCTACACGTGTTCCGCACGGAGGCAGCCACCAACTTTGTGCAGTTGGAGGCAAGAGCGCAAGGTGATGGTGAGCTTATGGCACGTGAGTATGAGCGTCTGACTCATGAACTTCATGAACACGCCAGAGAGAACTTGGTCCTCCGGTCAAACACAGCAAGTTCGGAACAAGCCTTACAAGCAATGCAGGAACGATTCCACTTGGTCAAGAACCAGGAGTTGCGGGCTGTGAACGAGATCCAAGGGCTAGCTGGAAACAGCGCAGCCATTGAACAAGAACGATTTCGGCTTCGCGAACGTCTTGGTGAAGAGGAAGAGTACCGCAAAATGGCTGTGAAGAGGATGCAAGAAGCAGAGGAACG